CATGTAATAAATGGTGGATTTTTTCGAGAAGCTGTTGATTGTGTGATTGCGATTTAGATTTTGAACTTTTTGTATGTGTTTTCGGAGTGTTTGACTTAGTAAATTGTCTAGCAATATACCCTTCCAGGCTCTGAAAATGGCGAAATCCCCGAATCGTCATATTTAACGGAATAAAGAATAAAAATACGTCATTGTGTTTTACATCGCAAGACTTCGCCGAAGCTTTTTTAGCAATTAGAAAGATGTTAGTCTATTGGTGGGCTTATCAGCAACAGTAAAGATCATCAATCTAAAGGATTTATGAAAGCTTTTATAACATCAGTCGACATAGAAGTGTTCCGTGAAACAGCTAGAGTAGTGTTGATTTTAATAAACATTTCGAAAGTTTGTCAGTTAGTCATAAGAAACTTAAGCCATTGAATAGTCAGAAGGTCGGTTTGTTGTGGCTTGAAGAATTATGCATTTTTTTTCTGTAAGAATTTGACGTCGAGTAGCATGTCACACTGAAAATATTCAACCTTTATTTTGAAAACGGCAAAAGATATAAATTTCCAAAGAAAAGTTGTTTAACTTCCACGGTCTGTTGTAATTTACGCGTACTTTCAATGAAGCAACTATATAAGCGAGAATCCCCTGATAGGTCGGTTGCATGGCTAATTTTTTAATGTATTGTTCGTGATTGTAACATTTTCATCTTTCCTGTCTATTCTTTTCCAACTACTGTAGAGATCGTTTCGAAACATGGAAATTTTTGCCTTCCCTTCCTTGGAACTTTTTCTGAAAAACTTTGTAAAATATTAGTTACTTGGATACTTGGACGGTCCGCCTAGACGAGTTGTGTGGGCTCCAGCACATTTTCAATTCTTTTCTTTCACTCGCAATCCTAGGCGCAGTTGTAAAATCTAACTTTATAAATTCCAAGTTTAGAAGTTCCGTTATTTTTGTGATATTTCATCAGCTTCAAAATCATCCCCAATTGAAGTCCAAATTCTACCCCAGCATAAATCATAACTGTACATTATAGCGATAACTGTATGATGTAAAAGCCAGCGTTTTCACGTTTTGCTCTTACTATGCCAAACAAGCAGTTTTGTTGATTGTTTCGAAACCGACTTTCCTTGAACCTCGGTGTCACTAATCAATATGTATTCTTTCTTTGATGAGCTTACACGAGGTTGATAATGATATTTATTAGAAGAAGAGAATATCATTATCAACCTCATGTGAGCTCATCAAAGAATGAATACATTTTGTTGATTGTGTCTGAACCCTTATTCTACCGTCAGAATAATCGATCATATTATTCTATGAGGACATTTTACGGAAATTCAGAAACACTACTGCAAGTGCTGACTGTTAGCATTTAGAGTCTGATGCTTTATTTTGCGTTGCTGCAGCTTTTAAAGTTTTGTCGTTCTCAGGTCTCACTGTGAATTGATATGAATTCTTACCGACCACGTTCTTCCCTCGCCACCTTTTTCATACATGACTTATATACTCCCTTCCTGTCATCAAACTCTTCGTCCTAATTGGTTGGTACGAAAGGCATTTAAGAGCCGTTGGACTCATGTGCAACATTGACATTTATGATATCGTCATCATCTTAGGTCATTCCAATCAGCAACAATGGCGTGACAGGAAAATTTTTCCGGAAAAGCGCTTTTAGCATACAAATTAGTATAAGGCATAGTTTTTTATTTCCGACACCCAGCACAATAGTCCACTTTGAATAAGCTGTCTAAAATAGTAAAGAAAAAACCAGTAAGCTGTAAATTAAGAGATCGATAAAAAGATGTGTTGACACCATAAGATTCTCCTATCTTTTCCAAGTGTATAAGCGGAAATCAACTTAAGTCGAATTTTGAATTTCTAATATATCCATTTTTTTACGTGAGAGCCAAGAACTAAACTGTACTGGTTCTGATAATAAGACATATTTTACAAACGTTTTGCGCATCCCTCTACATGCAACCTTTCAATGCAAGTACTAGAAAAGACAAAGAAACAAATATTTCGAGACCTGCTTTGAACTCCGTAGCTTTTCGCTAAGTTTTCAAACCAGGAGTCGAGATGTTTTAGAATTCAAAAATGATTTCTCGACAAAAGATAAACTACTGATATCATCACCTTGTTTCACGTTTCTTCATAATATGCTTCCACCTGTGACATATTTATTTTAAATCGGGTATAACCATTCAATTAAATGCAAATTTTGCTTGGACGCGAAAGTTGAAGTTTACAAAAAACGTTGTTACCGATCGACTTACGAAAAAGTTTCAGGACATTTTTGGGCTAGCATGACTTGCATGATCCACTCTATCGTTTCATATACATTTATATATACATATTGTGTATATGTATGTATGTATGTATGTATGTATGTATATATGCATATATATATATATATATATATAAATGTATGACACAGCATGCTTTCATCTTCAGTTCGAAAATTAGCTATTGGCTAGAGATCGGCAATATATGCTTTTTAAGGTCGAAGGAGATTCCGACCCTGATACAATATTTAAGGAAGTGTCAGCTGTGATTGACATCAGCTTATTCAATCGAGGTGAGAGCAGCACTTGTTTTTGGTGAGGCATACTTCGCTACATATAATGGTGTCTTTCACTGATTGTTCTTAGAGAACTGCGTGTTTCCTACATGACAACTTTTGCTAATCGAAATCGAGCGATGTTTAAGCATTTTTTAGAAGTTCCACTTTTTTGAAGTAGTCAACATCATTTTTCCTCTGTGCTTCTTAAATCTTATTAACACCAGTGGTTTCTAAAAAGTTGTTTCTACCTCAGAATTTTTCTTAAGATAAGACAAGAAATTTTAGTGCCTAATCAACCGCAAACCATGTCACGGATTGTAACGGAATTCCCATCATTTTGTTTTGATCGTAGCATAGTCACACGGACACAAGCTTTTTTCAGAAGGTGAGAGTGGCAACAATGTTCAGGAAGCAAAAAGAGGATTGACCAACGAATAAGAAGCAGCATTTTACGGAATTCGCTCGAACAGCGTTGAACAAAGATTTATACAGTGGATTAAATTTCTATGCAAGATTGTTCTTTTGGTACACTTCATTGTAGAGAAGACCATATCGTTATGGATGCACCTTATCAAAAGATTCTATCGGTGAATCATGTGTGAAATCATTAGTAAGGTATATCTTAAACTTTTCGTAGTATTTTTCGATATCCTAAGGCAAGATTGAGCAGCCTTTGGATCGGCGAAATCGTGGGAAGACTACCAGGTAGTCTTTTAAACTTTTTAAGAACGAGGCATGGCTATAGCGCTGTTCCTTGCCAAAGGTTCATTCCTTTCAGTGGCATGGCTTACGGTAAACTGCTTTTTTGATTTTTTTTTCAAGCACTGCAAATCTCTGCTTGAACGTCGGTACATCTTTTCCTAGACCTTCTAGGGTGACAAAATTAAAAACATCCGTATATTATTATGATATCAAAGTCTTCCAACATATAGAAACAAGTCAACCACCTATGTCGGTCTTTCGTGTTTCACCAATGTCGAGCGTGGTGCTTTGAACTTAACTTTTGCTATAAATTTTTTTAGCTACTAATGCAGACTATATGCCAATTCACTTATTAATAAAGATAGTACAAGATAAAAAAGAAAACAGCACCATTTTATTTGCCTTGGTTTTGTCGGTTTTGTACTAAAAGTGCTATCGCAACTTGGGATAGCAAGAGTGCTTCCATGCCACCTCATCCAGTACACTGACTAATCACATTTTATCGGAAAATAACCCAAATTTGCAAAGAATTTATGTGGTATTAAATATTGCTTGACTAGTAATTAACCGAGTACACAGGAGATCATGGAGAAAAAGTTTTACAAAAAAATCATAAGTCGTTAAAGTGTATTTCACATCCTTCTGCACGAGTGTGCAGCGGAACAGTACGACAGCATTGCGCTGTGAGCAGGCGGTCATAGTTTGAACAAGGCGTTGCGGGTATTCGGTCGCCTCATGCAGGTGTTAGACAGGAGCGACCACATTCGTTTGCGCCTTAACGTTCGTTGTCTCGAAGAATTCACGAGAACGCTCTGGAGACGTTGACTGATACTCCGATGAATGATTCGATGACGAAGACGGCGCCTGAAAGCACTTAACTTTATCTTATTGCCTAAAAGGTGTGCATATAGAGCAGTGGTTAGAGTTTCTCACAATACAAACGTGGTTATCGGTTCAATTTCGCTCTACGGGTCCGTCAATCCCACCATCTCTCCGGGGTGGGAAAATTCGCACCAGAGTTGATTGGTACCACGATTTTCTGGGAGGGTAGCAGCACTTACTTGATACATCAGTAGACCACCTCAATTCATTAGATAATCCAGACATGCATTCAATCATCTCCAAAGATGCTTAATGAAGTCAAATGCATGGTGCATCCCTCAGGGATTGGTCAATCCGGAGAGCTTCATCCTTTTTTGTCTCAAAGGATACTAAGTCAGTGTGAAATAGTTCATTACCGGAATATTTAAAAACAGTGGACTTTAAATTTCGGCATGTATAGCTCAGGCGTTTTATGGCATATACATGAAGTCGCTGGATTAATCCCACAACCTGGGCAGACTTAGGTATGTTTCCCTTCGGGATGCATACTCGTGGCACACCGATACTGAGAGCGGGGAACACACACTGAGGTAATACAAAGTAGGCCTACACAAGTGGAGAGATATGTGAAAACCGAATAGTTTCGTTCTTTCGCTTAAATTAAACAAAGAACAGCCTATCAAGCAAAGAATGGTTTTTTAAGCTGTATTTTCAATCGTATTATGGGTTTATATATATTTTCAAAGCCTACTTAGTTATCTAAACACTTAAGTAGCCTACCAATACGTATATGTAGTTCGCACCCTAAAATTTTCCTCAACCGTTTCGCTTTCTTGCAACCGTCATCCATGGAAATGTTTAAGTTTGTATGTGGAAATGGCTGTTATTTGATAATCGGTTGTGTTCTACCCTCACTACGACGTTAAATGTTTGTTAAGCATGAATTATAAAGGTAGCCGTACTTAGACCTTCCCAGGTATTCGCTACAAAAAGTTTCCTTTATTTTGATTGGGCAGAGGTTTTCTGCTTTATCATTGTAATTCTTCTAAAACGGAAGTGAATATTGCGCTTATTGCTTAAATAAGCAATTAGAAAACACGCCTACATACCTACGTATATTTATATATATACTTTTGAGTGTATACGGGAACCAAAAACCGATTCTGCGTATAAAACTGGGAGCACATCCCTTGAGTCCACCTACATTTGCGAGCAAGTACATGGCCATTTTTTGTTTCGCGATCAAATTCCTATCTATTAACCAAAGATGCGTTTGACAGCCTCACCACGTCCATTCCGAACCCAAAATATGAGAGAAATCCATGATGTATCCGAATTCTTATTCTGATGCGATGAGCAAGTAAATGTTAACTGGTGTTGCGTGTAAACTTAATTACAAAATTACCTGACAGTCATGCATGCCCGATGACACAATGGTCAACGGCGAAATGCTTGCTCCTTCGTTGCCATGCATGGAGCGTCGGAACTTTGCTCGGGCGTTTTGGAACCACACCTACGAAGCAAACGAGGAATGTCAGAAGCAAAGTAGTTACATCGTTACAACGGTAGAAGGAATGATTTTTGCCTACCTGTAAGACACGCTTTGTCAACCCAGTTTTTTGTGCCAACTGTTTGAGATCTTTCGCATCAGGATTGTGGTTAAGATTAAAGTACTGCTTCATTGTTCGTAACTGGTGGTGCTTGAATGAAGTACGCATTCGCTTTGATCGACTATGTGTTGGCTGTTCATCTTCAGCATAATCTAAGCAACTGATTATTTAGAGCGCACTTATTTCCACACAGATCTTGGAGAACAACGTAGACAAAGTGCATGACGCAGGTGTTCATTACCGACGATTTGCATATGGATTAACGCGGGTGATTCATTTGAAACTTGAGATCTGGTGGTATCAGCCACCTCAACCACCTGGTGCATGAATAGCGGATGAGTGGCAGTGGCTGGTAAAGAACTCCATCCTACTTTTGAAGTAAAATGCTACAAAATAACAGATGTAAGTTGCGCCTTGTCGTCTTGAGCCCTTTAACTAGTTATTAAATATTTTCACTAACGCATAGTAATGGTTCGTTTTTTTTCCGTTGACATTTTCAGTGCAGATAGTTGAACATTTCATAGCTTATGAAGCTCCATAAGCAAGCGCAGCTGAAGATCTCATTCTGTTTCCCTTTCATAGTAAGTAATATTGTTAAATAAATTGCCGTTGGTACCAAGTCTCGCTTTTTGCAGTACCTGATTTAGATGAACACACATTTAACTCAACCGGAGCATAACGGCTGGAAAATCGATAAACTACGGTGGCATTTAATGAGGCCAGCCGCTATACGGTAGTGAAGTGCAAACGGCGATGTGCCGTCGTCGGAAACTGAGCTATGGACAACGTTCACGCATGAGGAAAAACCAATGGTAAACGACAGAATGAAAGATGAAACATCGACAAATGGATAAACATTTTTGAGAAATTACCGTCGAATTCACCTTCTTGCTCATCGGAATCATCTTTTTGCTTCACCAATGTGCTCTGTTCATCTAGTTGTGGTATATCGTAGTGCACTAAAATAATTTTAACGTTGCTAATAAAGTGATTAACAGAATTTTTGACATGTCCCAGACAGCGAAACTTGCTTTGACAAAATATTTCGCACTGTTCAGACATGGTGAAGATATTGCCGACGTTGAGCGGAATGCCACAAACCTATAACTATGTGACATGAGATAGTCGCAGTTGGTTGTTATGAGTCTAGAAAGTTTGCAACCAATAAAAATTAGCCCACAACGCATGAAAAGCAGTGCACATGAAAGAATGCGTCGCGCGCTCGCATCACAACGTCGTCACATTCCAGAACCAATCTACACTTGGCACATGACTTGCGGAACTTCCTGGAACGACGTTGTTGGTTGCCGATACACTTTGTTCTTCTAAGGTTCGGCATCATTTGTTCTGTTGTGTTAAAGATGAAACGATAAAACTACAACAAAGCGGTAGCCCTTAAGCGTTTTCGCTGTTTAATGGAAAATTTTCAAAGGTTTTTTGAGAGATCTCTTAACTAAATAGTTTTCACTCTGAAATTTAATAGAAAAGCCGTTGAGGAGATGTTTCGAAAGGGATAAATACAAAAACGTGTGAAGAAATTCGAGAGGAAACCTACGACTTGTAGTCGCGACGACACAGTACCAGTCCATCCCTCACAAAACACGTCGTCTCAGACGATAATGTACAGTGACATAGAACGCAACGCAAGCACTGAGGATGGTACGGACGGCATTCAAGTACCAGAAAATACTGACCCAAAATCGGATGATGACAGGCCGAACATATTTCTAGAATTTGGAACTCTTAGTGAAGTTGCTTTTTCCATTTTTTCCATTAACTTGGTCATTTTGTGAAGGCATGATGGCAAGCTCTCCGTTTGTTGGGATTACACTTGGGTGTCCTCGACAAGCTATTACTGGGTAATTCGGTATAAGTTATTAGTGAACCTATTTCTAATACATCTAAGCGAGAGTGAAACGTTTGTAATCGCTCTATTTCGAGCAAATGAGTTGTAACTTCGACCGCATTTCTTGCAAAGAAATCTTGACGATTCAAGAAACATTGTTAAACCCAACGGAATATTATTAATATTGTATAATTAATGAAGCTAGCAATTGCATTTTTTAGCACTTGATCCTAAGAAGTTCGCTGAGCAAACGATGAAGTAGATGTCTCTGATGGATCGCCGCAAACTTAGTGTATTTTACGATCGGATTCTGCAGTTGCCTACCCCATAAAGCTTCCGTTATATGCCGCTTGCACGTGTGATACACAAGCGGTAATGATTCGTCTCGAGTCCAATTAGCGCGCTATGCTTGGCATACGGTAGCATTCTCGTCTTGCCGCTTGCTAAATTCTCATATTAACTCTTTTGAGCCACACAGTTACCATAAAGGTTTGTGATTTAAGGGTGTTAACATAGTTACTGCTTCTACAAATCCGAACTTCTTCTAAGAGAACAAATTACTTCAGTACATAGAAATGGGGCCAAATAGTAATTCGAAGTGGTTCAAAGGACTAAACAATTTCTGGAATAGATTGAATTCGTTTTAGCATAACCAGAGACGACAAGAGTTTAGGTCAGATAGAAGAAAGTTTCGGTTCTTTGGAACCCAAGAAAGAAAACTAGCACCTTTTTCTAATGCGAATTCAAGAAGCCATTATGCAGAATAAACCTGTTAAAATTTGGTGAGAAATTTACAGTTTTTAGGGGAAAAAAGAGTGGTGATCAAAGTCATTAAATGAGAACATGATGCAACTCATAACCACTCTTAAATAGAGATAAAGGATAAAGCTGTCGGCGTTGATCAATCCTTGTCTTAGGAGGTTTGAACCAACTACAGTCCTGAATTCTGATTGTTAACTAGTTTTTCAGTATTAAAAGGTATTCAACTTGAATAACTCCGCAAACATTAGGGTAGGTAGTTTGTTAAGAATCTCATCTTGATTCTTGGTTGTTTTATTATTCTCAGCTCTCGTTAGTACTCTGTAAGTTGACTGTAGTGAAGGAGGGAAAAAAACGGTGTAGAAAGAAAACATCGAGTTCTCGAAAACAAATTGCACCTCACCGTGCGATGAGCCCAAGGCGCTGGCAACAAGGCTTGAAATCGTTTGAGGTAAAGTGCTGCATACCGGCTGCTGAACTATCTCTTCCCTATTTTTGACAGTAATCATTGGTTAATTTGTCTTGAAAGCTCGGATTCTGTATCGAATTCACTTTAAAAGCGAATAATCATTCCGAAGGATCTGTAAACACATTTTTGAATGGATAGGAATGGAATGAATTACTGTTATCACCGTTGTCAAGGAGGTTTGACACTAAAAGGCTAGACAAAGGACGAGTTTTGTTGGATGAATACAGGTTGGTACAAGTGGTATGTGGAGAGATTACTGGAGGATTACTGACTGATTTCCACATCGCTATTGTCGATTCGAGAGTCGGTTGTGCTGCCACCACACTGAATGCAATGAAAAGTGTTCGAGGATAGTAGAAAACTCTGCAACTGATGTCCTCGTCCATATTTATTATTTTTCCCAAAGAAAATTTAAGAAACGAATTCGTAATAAAACAGTAAAACATGGGTATGGTCTTTGATAATCGGCCACAAAAGGGAACATTCACACAGCAAAGCAATCCGAAACGGAAAACATGCACATATCAGATTGCCGATGATTGCAATGATTCTTTGGTAGCTTGCGCAGAATGAAAGGAATGATGTACCTATACCGCTGACAATCCTTTTGTGGAGGAAATTCAGCAGAGGAAAGACGTTACATCAACAATTTTGCTCTAAATCTTCTCTATCACATTGTCAGTGACATGAATGCAGAAGACGCACTCGGTTTCAGCAGTGTAATTATTCCAATTTATGTCCAGCATGGAAGATAAAATTTTGTCTCCGTTGTTTTTCAGCGGTTGATGGGAGATTGCTGCCGCTGTGATTATAACAGGTCAAGTAATGAATGCCTCATCCTCATTGCGCAACCATCAATTGACCAGCAGACATCCAAAATACAAGAAAAATTATGGCACCTCGTACAAAAGAAATTACTATATAATTGTCCAATTTTCCCATGAAGAAAACCGCTCACACCCGGACACTATAGAGGGAGATTAATTGCAACCAATCACGTGCGGCAGACTTCTCAGCAAGTACAGCGTGAGCTCCTGTTACAAATTAGTTACACTGGTGATTTTCGCGCTATCATTATCCCATTTTCGTCACAAATTAATTTTGATTACGCGAGAATTCGGTTGAAATAAAATCTGAAGTTCGAAATTTGATTAGAAAACCGTTCGTATTCGCGTAGTAGTTGCGATGTGGGTATCACCACTTAGAGAACAACAAAGCGAAAGATTAGCCAAAATCGAAAATGTTACAGCAAAGCTCTCGACTACGGTAGTCAGCACTTAGTCGACACTAATTCAGAGGCGCATAGGGAGTGTCCAAGCGCTCAGCACGCAGACAGCGCGGGTGGCTGCGAGTGCGGTGTTGAGAGATGGATAGGCGGGAAAGCAGAGCAGATTAGGGATTAGAGTCGCCGTGACAAACAAATGAAAAGCGTATCACTTTCGCGCTATGGGATTGTAACGAAAAACTGAACAAGTTACGTCTTCCATCTGCTATAGCGTTCATTAACGGTCTACCACTCTGACACTTCAAAGGACCATCGCCACGGCTGTATCATTTCGTTCTATGGAGCGGACAGTATGCGAATGGTTATATGAGGACATTACTTGGAGACCATTTCACCAAAAGCTTCAGAAAATTTTTAAACAACACATTTTTAAAGAGCTGGTGACATTGCTTCAAATTCGCAATAAAACAAATAACACGAGAACTTTTCACTACAGGTTTTGTTACTGGAGAAAGAAGTCTTTCCATTAGTCAGCAGCAATTCACTCTAACATCCGTCCAAATATTGCTTGTCAGAGAAAACAAGATTTTCTAAGACATTCAGTAAACTCTTCAGAATGTCACTAGAGCTAGCTTTTCATGCTGTGAGTTCGAACTCTAAAGTTTCTATGATTATTTCACACAATACCGAATTTTCGAGAATATTTCTATAGTGATCTCAATGATTTTCACCAATGACTTCAATAGGCAAAGACTACTGCTTGAATCACGCTTTCATGGTTGAGTATATAAGCAGACTATTTCAGTGGGATAGTTCTGACACTGACAAGGTGGTATTTCCCCAACTGCGTCTTTTCGGAATTTTCGATATCATCTCAACTCTTTAATAATCGATGGGCTCAAAAGGTGTAAGCAGATGTTTCACAAAGGCATTAAGTAATCAGGTTGGTTGTTTGTTCATATAAGCGGAATTGCCTCATTTTAAACCTCTATAGTTCTGAGAAAGGCTAAAAACATTGCGATTATGGTTGACAACGCAGAAACTTCGTAAATCCGTTTTTTTAAACAAATCCAGAATGTTGTATCTATTACTTAAGCTGTCTTATTAAATGACTACCGAGCTGTACAATGACTTAATGATAAGATCCTATGACTCTCAATCAATAACAGCAAATCCAATTGTAACAGATATTTCTCGGAATTTTACCGCTTCATCGTGGCTGGGAAGTGTTCCTGGATGTCGGGCTGCGATGTACAGCAGGGCATTCATCTCCCTGGCAGGGTCTCCTAAGCTGAGAAGAAGTCCGGCGCTTCCATTAGGAAGCCTAGCTAAGAGTAAACCAATACCAGGATCCACCACCTTCCTAGTATCAATGTCGCATGGTGACAAATCTCTTATCCACAAGGGCTGCAATTGACTGTGGTGGTGAAGATCTGGGACAGAGTTTGCTTAGGCTGACCTCGAGATTCCGGAAAACCACAATGGCTTTACCAGCAAATCTCTGAAAATGGAGATATACTGGGGCCCACACAACTAGTTGGGACGGGCCATTCAAGTATCAAGTAAGTATATCTCGGAAGTGCATCTGAGCTTGAGCATTAATAGCAACTGTAATAGGCAAAGACATAAAATCATAATATATAAAACACTATAAGGTGTGGTTTTTATTTTGCGACCGGGTTTTCTTAAAACTTCACCTTTTCGATATGAATAGGGTAGGGCATAAGACAGTAGGGATTCAAGAGTACTATTTCATAGATAGGAACACATCTTACAATTTTTGTCCCAATAATACCGTTATGCAAACACGGGAAAACATTTTATTGCATGCTTTTATTTACTGCATAATGTTTCTTGGAAGGAGACTTGAGCTGGGATGCCGTTTTTTGATAAGAATGAAATAAAATAGGATTTCAGAATACTTGTCCACTTGGATGCTTCACAAGTCACTTTGATTTATACTGATACGATAGGAATGCCTAGGGAGACCTGGTCTAACGATTGTTCAGAATTTTCTTTAATAGGCAGAAGTGGCTAAAGCAGCTTTGACCTGCTTTTATCAAAACGGATTTTCATCATGAAGAGAAGCCCTCAGTGACCGCGATGAACTGCATGATTCGTTCTTCGATCGAAAAATTTCTAAGGTGAATTCATGCAACTGTGCTTATGAATCAAATAACATCGCTTCATTACTATTTTTATTAGTCGGCATCTTTTTTTTTAGAAATTTATGAAGTTCTACAGAAACAAGATGAGTGAAGCAGGCGATAAAATTACAGCAAAGAATCTGTTGGAAAGAATACTTCCACATAAGCACTAATAATCCTTTCTTCTCCAATTTAGAACAAAACCGCCGTTTTTCGAAGAGCTTCAAACAGCCAAAGACGGCGAGGTCTGAAAATTTCGCAACTGTGTGCCGTTTTCGAGGATTTGATGAACTGTGGTGGTGAAGCCAGTCACTAAGATATGACTTGTCGGCCGGTTAGACCAAACGAACTATACGTAGTTTAGTTTTAAATGCTTACAAACATGTGATAATAGATAAACTGAGAAAAGAATTTTATTAAAAACCACTCCATTGTCTCTTCAAGCATTGGCGCTCACCTGAAAGGGTATTGCATTTTTGCATCGTAATTCATCGTCATATGTCATTATATAACCACCAGTCGCAGTCGTGATCAGTGGTCTGAAGGATCCGAACTCCGACCCTTCCTTCTGTTCCACGGATCTACCATCAAACATCAACGGAATCATTTGCTCACTATCACGAGCTTGTGGACCACACGGCGCAACCTGAGAATTCAAAAGTAAAATTATTGTTCCATTGCCAATTTCGTATTTAGATCTGACACTAATCTGTCACATTAAAAGACGCAAAGATATTTGTCGCTTCTATACCTATTCTTATTGACCAAAGCCGAATATGGTGAATTTTTTGTGCAATGTACGGTTATACAATTTCCATTCAATACTATACCATATAATACGCTTCTATATCTTTTATATAACATAGAATACGTAATGTGTCGTACGTGATCAAGTTATTTCTGTGTAATATCACGTAGCACAACGTACTTCTCCTCGTCTTCGGTCTATAATGTTCGTCCCAACCTTCTCCTTCGAGTTGGATGCGAAATACCGAGATATGAACGCATGTGATGATTTATCCATTCCTGGATCCATTTTGTCAGTGTATTCTACGTTCACCACCTGTATGAAACTATCGTGAAGGTGATTCGTCGTGGATCGATGAAATTGCGCGATTACCTGTGGTCGTAAGTCTCCAGCTTTTAAATGCCCATGGTCTATTGCACCCCTTCCCAAAAGGGGGATGATACCTTCGGAACTACCCTTCTAAATAACTTATTCACATACGAAATCACTTGACATAGAAAACGTTTATTGCTGACATCTTGCATGAAATACTTGTGATTGTCGACAATAACGCCGAGATTGAGCCTTCTCGAACCAAATGGTAACATACCAGATCGATTAGCTTGTCCACGATTATCATTTAAAAGCGGTATGACAGTTTCTGATTTCAGATCTCCCTGAAAAACAAAGTGTTGGCTATTGTTTCACCGAAATACACCAGCACATGGCAAAGATAGAACGAGGAACAGAGGTTTGTGTTCAACTCACAACTATATCGGGGCACTTCTCTAAAACAGCTTTTCAATACTTTCCAGTGTTCACAAAGAAATTGAAAGTAACATCGAGTGAAAAATAAAGACAAGACGATTTCCCATGGAATACGAAGTTAGTGAAAGCATATATATCGCTTTTGAACATGCCTTAATAAAATCAACCGTATTGTTTATCTCATAGAAATGACAGCTCCGCTTGTACTAAACACACTTTTCTGTTTTATTTGTTTCAATTGCTGTAAAGCACTAAACACCTGAAATAAATTTCAGAGCCTCATTTGTCACTGAATGTTTTAAGTATAGAAACGAATGTCGTAGTGGCTTTATAGCGCTGTCTAGTGAAGCTTCCTCCTGGAACAAAATTTCTCTGTCTTAACAGTCGCATCCTCAACAGTCAGGATTTTCTAACTATAAAGCAGAAGATTCGAAGCCTTGTCTGCAGATTAAAGACATTGCACCCTCTACCATCTCCTGTGGTTGGTTTTCGATACATTGGCCACTTTATCGGTGCTACCAGAAACCGAATTAAGCTTAAGAGTAAAAGGAAAATAAAAAGAGTAAAAGCAGCACACTATAGTAAAAAAAACATTGCTGAAAGCCAAACTAAGGGCCTCGGTTGGTGTGGTGCATAACACGTGAGCTCCCTGTGGTAATCACCGCTTTGAAGCCTATATGAGGCTCCGAATTTTGCTCCTGTCTCAGAAGGCAGCATCACGGTTAGATTGACAAACAGCTATCAGGCTCTTTTTAGCATGATGTTGTCCCAATATCCAGCTAGGTAGGCGAGAAATGGGCCGACAACTTAGCCACGTCAAAAGTTCTTTAGATTCTCCATTAACGGAGTACTAAAGCGATATCTGCTGAAATGCGCCAAACGTTAAACCAGGCTTCAAAGTCCAGACTCCCATCTTTATGATCTACGGGAATATATAAAAAGTCCAGAGTTAGGCATAGAGGTGGTAAGAAGAACCCATGGCAGATGAACAAAAAGACGAATGTAGTGGGCGCCAGGTGTCATGAGTTAGACCATCTGTAGTATGAGTAGGTGTATTTGGTGTCTGGATTACCAATCCAATACCCGAACCAGAATTCTCGACGCGGAACCGTAACTCGTTGACGCTTTCCTGCATTGTAAGGGCTATATCTCTCAATTGTATACCTTATTGATACGCGCTCTTAAAAGAATTTTTATCAAAATGGGTCAAAATTTTAATTGTGATTCTTACCGCTTTTTTTTCCAAACTGCTCAATCTTGTTTACAGATAGTAAGGTATTAGTTAGGCGACATTCTCCAAAGCTTTTCTCACAAATGAACATCGATGAAAATATGATGGTGGAATTTTTCGATAGCAATGAAACACAGAAAAGTTTTATGTTTGAAAAATAATAGTGAATAACAATGGTCATCTGTTAAAGTACAAGAGAAAGAAAGTTCTCTTCTAAAGATAGCAGCTTATAGTGCCTTCATATTAGGTTGCTTCAAACGTCAACACTTTTGTGCGCAGTGGCAAACATGGAGGTTAAAACTGCAGCGTTATTCCAAAGCAAACGAGACAAACCTGTTTGAGTTCTTTGCTGCCTGGGTCCACCTTTATTGCAGCATCTCTTGGCTTTCCAAAGGCACCCATACCCTCCTGGGTCATGATTGCTGGCCATTGTTCCCATGGAATGACGAAAGGGATAAATACATCTCTGATATAAGTATATTTTTGTTGTTTACCTAACCGTAAATATGTAGAGAAAGAACAACGAAACCATCTTTTATAATTTGATTTGTGCCTATAATGCATATGTAATTCGTTGGTATAAAAGTCATCAGAGCGGTTTCGGAGTTTGAAATTCAAGATATTATAACCAGTATAATGCGGAGATATTTGTGAAACTCCGGGCTGTAGGTGTCGCATCGAGCTCGCTATTACCTCTTCCGACGGATAACGTGTTACCACCACATCATGCATGTCCTTCGTTTCGTCTTTCTCTCAGCTAGTTTTGCATCTAACAGTGCCATCAGCAATAACCTGTCAACAGGGTTGACCTGAGGACAAAAACTACATAGGCAGCAAATAAACAAGTTAAAGTTATAACCAGTCGCAAACGAATTTTTTTTCACAACGTTCTAACATGTATTTACCTCACATTTTTTGTCATTAAGGTTACGAAGCGAACTACGGCTAAGATTGCAGCTAAAGATTAACCGATTTCAACACCGATTTAAGTTTTTCAGAACATTCCTGGTGACAGGCTCACAGCACCAACGGCTGAGAGAAAGGCAAATCAACGGCCTCGACTGGGTGTTGAAAAGCACGTGCGCCTCTCTTAAGGGAGATCGCAGGCTCGAAGATCAACTGAGGTTCCGAGATTTGTTCATGTCTTGGCAACCTTGTGGCTGTACATCGCAATTTTACTATTCAAATAGTATTCATTAGAATGCTTTCATTCTTTCCAACAAGCACGGTTATTTTGGTATGTCAGAACTTTGGAGTTGTTAAAGCGATGAATTCTCTCAAGATATTTTTACAACCGACTCTCTATTAACCTCGGCATTCGCAAAACAATTCTTAATATCCTTCTTGAGCAAACTTGAGGTGTTATTTCATCTAATAACAAGCCGACACTTCGGCGTATTTCGTCTCTAGAGCCTGGAGAGGGCAAGTTGACAGTAATCTACCCAGCCAAATACCTCCATTACCAAGATCTCTAAACGTATTAGAGATAGTCTTTATAGAACTCTGCTCTAAGGTCCCCTTGTATTATAGAAACTAAAATTTCTCGACACGAGGTGCGATGAACGATGCGACATGGCGTACGGCAGCGTGAAAACCGCACAGCATTCAGCGTAGTGAATGGGTTGAAATGAAGTTCAAAAAGATCATCCAAAGTCATTTAGGTGATCTATATATGGGATTAGAGGTGCGTGTAGCGCAGTGTTGAAGGCGCCCTGCAATGTAGAAGGGATTAACTCCGCGCCGCAGGCTCACCCACCTTTCCATCATTCCGGGTTCGTTAAATTGGTGCCGGACTTGTCCGGGAGGATAGCAACACTCGTTCGATACACTGGTAGGCCAACGCGAGTCGTTGTAAAAGACACATTCATTTACCTCTAAAGATGCTTTATGAAGTCGAATGGATGGCGAATCCCTCAGGGATTGACCTTTATCCTTTTATCCTTTATACATGAGACCAAATATCATACTTAACAAATCACGGCAGAACCATAAAAGTGGATGAGCGTTGTAAAGACATTTCCAAAACATACCAATGACTGGAAGGCGTGCAACCGATATAAATCGACGAATTCTGTTGCACGTCAATGTCCGACTACTTGTAACGTGCGCTGCAAAGAGTTAAGGAGTTGAGCTATTTCTATCAAGCTCCGCTTTACACACCATATTCAGCGAATCTCTTGTAAGCCGAATACAATCTTTCCAAAAGTGTTAACAACTACTCTTATGGAAACACTCTCGACGACGAATCTGCAGCGAAAACTACTCATGGAAAAATTACCGATTGGAGAATGTTAGAATGCTCTTCTACTGGAATAAAGCTTGTATACTGCTAGAAACAATGATAAGACTATAGTAGTTCTTATTTTAACAAAAAAAAAAGAGTGGAATTGCACCTGGCTATAACAGTGTAGAATTCACTCTCCGAAACCTCCAATATTTCTGCAATAAACGAATGTATTCCAAAAATGTCGTCTCTCTTTTTTTAACAGACAACGCCCGATGTTTTTTGTTTCATAACGACTGGTGACTTTCCGATTAATGGAGTGATTAGGAAGTCATAAACCAGACAGATTTGCAGTACACATTTTGTTGTTCTATCGTCAGAAGATTTTAAGCTTTTCCAAAATTCCCTCTTGGTCTTAAATTGAAATCAGGTTCTTCAAAAAAATTGGAAGCTATGTTTAAATTCCTGGATGATTTTACCACAAATGCACGAGGATAAGCAACAGCGACAACCTAGGAAAAAACCTTGTTTCCCATGGAAATTATTTCACTTGCTTAATCGCTTCGCTCTGCGAAAGATGAGTCTTGAAGAAAATTGGCGAAGGCAATGTATTTATAGACACCAAAGACCGAAATTTACTAAAGCAACGTAGCAGAAAGAAAAAATTGTAAGCAATGATTTGTACATCTCAACCATCCCTATTTCACTTGATGGAGTACGCGATGAACTGAGATATGCTTGCAAAAAATTGAAGGCAAAACTATTTTGCAGCATACGTGCATTAAAACCAAAGCGTATAGGGGTTTATATAACAAGTAGTTGACAAGTCATACCTAGATTTGATATACCGATAAATGATCGCTAAATGTGATGTGGTGCCTGCCACTATCTGCGGGCAAAAAACACCAAAAATATGCTGATTTCCTTGCGAATGGAGCACAGCTCAGGCGCACGATAAGAACAAAAGTAGATTTTATGACGCGCTTTAAATCTACTCGAAGAGTAAGTGGGATAACATATGAGGCTTGTGATCTGGCACAACAAAAAGATGAGCTGTTCATGTGGTGTGCTCAAATAGCTGAAAATTCACTAAACAAGTTCGAAACAAGCCCAATAATTACGTAAACCAAGAAAAATGGGAAAACTCTCAACAACACTACGTACACGGACTTCGGTTTCTTCGAATAACGTTGAACCGGGGGAATACGCTCTTCCTTGTTCATTTCTGCTAAAGTTTTTTCATTTGGCGGCATAGGTATTGGCGGCTCCAGAATTTTAACAGGAGGAACCCAGCGTTTCTTCAAAGGAATACCCTTCTCTTGATTATTATCAGGAGATTTACTTTTTCCCGGTTTTCTTTTCGGCTTCTTCTTCTTTAATGGAATGGTTTCTGGCTCATCGCCACGCAATTTAACCTTCGGAATATTCTCCTTGTCTGGCCCACTAACAGGTCTTTTTTTCGGTGTTGGTTCACCTGACGCCCTGATTGGCTGAGGTTTTTTGAAGGCTTGTTTAGGGTCTTTAAGAGTTGGTTTACTGATTTCATCGGCAGGAAGTTCTTCTTCCTCAGCTGCTTGTGGCTTTTTCTTTCCTAGTGGTATTGTTATCTGTGCTTCTGGTTCATCGTCAGGCAATTTCACTTTCGGAATGTTCTTCTTGTCCGGCTCAGTAGCTGGTTTTTTCATCGATGTTGGTTCATCTGGCGTCTTGCTTGGCTGCGGTTTCTTGAACACTTGTTTAGGATCTTTAGGAGTTGGTTTACTGATTTCATCGGCAGGAAGTTCTTCTTGATCAGCTGCTTCTGGCTTTTTCTTTCCTAGCGGTATTGTTATCTGTGCTTCCGGTTCATCGTCAGGCAATTTCACTTTCGG